CAGGGGGACTGACCCCCTCTTCTGGACCCCGTGGGCACTGCACTCATAGGTCCACCTCACCCTACCAACACATAGTACACATAACTCAAAACAAAACAAAACAAAAAAATAAATCTTTGCAAAGATGTTCTGGAACTTACTCTGTAGACCGGGCTGGCTTCGAACTCAGAGATCTTCCTACCTCTGCCTCCCAAGTGTTGAGATTAAAGGCATGCGCCACCACTATCTGGCAAAAGATAGCATCTTAATGATACATTTAAGATTATTCCACAACTTCTATTTTTTTTTTTTGCCTCTGAGCAGTGGTTCTCAGCCTTCCTAGTGCTGTGACCCCTTAATACAGTTCACATGTGGTGACCCTCAACCATAACATTTTTTGTTGCTATTACAAAACTGTAATTTTGCTACTGTTATGAATTATAATGTAAATATCTGATTTACATCAGATGATCTTAGGCAGCCCCTGTGAAAGGGTCCTTTGACTCTCAAAGGGGTCACAACCCACAGGTTGAGAACTGCTGCTTTTGGGTGATTCTCTTGCCTTTTGAAAGTTCACCGAGACTTTCTGAAGCTATGTCATATCTACTGATGGGTGAATTGAAGACATCCTTCCTTTGAGCTCTGCTGGGGATTTTGCTCCTTGAAATTCTGATTCTCTTCATTCTCATCTCTTTGCTGAAATCGCCCACTAATCTCACAGTTTCACTTTTTCCATTAGAATTTTTAACTTCATAGTTATTTTTAAATCACTGTCAGAAGAGTCTGTCTTATCAGGGTCTGGTTCAGTTTATAGCTTTCTTAGCATATTTTTAAATCCATTTTGTCTGTGTGGATTCTGTGTGTCTTGTGTTGGTCAGTAGATCCTATGACCTCATTTCTCTGAAGGGTTTGGGAAAACCTTAATCTGGTATTTTGTTACTTTTTTTTTAAAAGATTTACTTGTATTTTACGTGTGTATGGGTGTTTTGCCTGCATATATGTCTGTGTATTAAATGTGGGCTGGTGCACACGGAAGGCAGAAGAAGATGTAATCTATGTCGGTGTACTAGATGTGGGCTGGTGCACATGGAAGGCAGAAGATGTAATGTATGTCTGTGTACCACATGTGAGCTGGTGCACATAGAAGACAGAAGATGTAATATATGTCTGTGTACCACATGTGGGCTGGTGCACACAGAAGGCAGAAGAAGATGTAATGTATGTCTGTGTACCAGATGTGAGCTGGTGCACACAGGGGCAGAAGATGTAATGTATGTCTATGTACCACATGTGGGCTGGTGCACACAGGGGCAGAAGATGTAGGCTCCCCTGGGATTGGCATCACAGATGTTGTTGACCACCATGTAGGCACTATGAATTGTGTGAATTCAACCTGGGTGCTCTGGAAGAGCATCCAGTGCTCTTAACCACAGAGCCGTCTTTCCAGCCCCTGTTTATTTTTTAAACAATGGTTTATTCTTCCAGTATTCTTTTTTGTTCCATCCATGGTATAATTATTTTTTTCTTATTGATTTCTAAAAATACTTCACATATTATTGATGTATAATCTTCTTCAAGTATTTGTCTTGAGAACATTAATTCCCAGTTTGTGGCTTTGTCTCAGTTATATCTCTTGCTGTAAAGAAGTTTTAAAAATTGTTGTATTCTACTTTTTAAATAATTTTCATTTACAGCATAGAAAGCTTATTAAGTCATATCTGAGATATCCCTACAGGTGGATCTAGAAAATATTCTTTGTTATTTTCTTTCAGGAGTGTTACTGTGGGTCTAGCTTCAACACATAGATTTATGATCCATGTTATTTGTGATACAAAGAATATGTTGGGGCCCATTTTTCTGTATTATAATTTATTGAAAATACATTATTTGTCCACTTAATGCTTAAAATTATTTCAAAAGTTAGTCACGTGTATATGCTTCAGAACTAATTTTTTTACTAGCCTTTTTTTTTTGCCTTTAAATTTATTCACATTTGCTGCTTAACAGTAAGTCTTAAGTTGAATTGGGACAGCTTTGTTCTTTTACAATTTTGTTTTGCAGGATTTTCAAAATGTATTTTCGGATAAACTTGATTTTAGGCATTAAAATCCTGTTAAAATCAGCTTCCATCAGGAAGGGAGAGAACAGGCTTGTTATTAAATTCAATCTTCTCATCAGTGACATTGCTACCTTCCCATTTATTTGTATCTTTTTAAATTTCTGTCAGCAATACTTGATGATTTTAATCACAGATAAATTGAAAACTTGAATAAGCATATTGTTACGCTTTTATTCTATTATATAGGGAATATTTATATTTATTATTGCCTTAGTGTGTAGAAATATAACTTATTTTTAAATTTTTATTTTTACTTGTGTGCGTATATATGTTGTGTTTGTGTCTTTGTGTGCTGTGTGTGTAGGTGCCTCAGAATTCCAGAAGAGGAATTCCTGGAGCTGGATGGTTACAGGTGGCTGTGAGCCTCTTGGTGTGGGTGCTGGGAATGAAAGTTGGGTCCTTTGGAAGAGCAGCAAGTACTCTTGACCATTGAATCATCATCTCCCCAGCCCCTAATGAATTGTTTTATACAGTTTTCTCTCTCTGTGTCCTGCGACTTTGCCAAATTCAGGGATAAAGTTTAGGATTCTGAATTAATTTCAGTTCCTGGAAGAAATAAACTTTTTTCTTTCCAATATTTGCTGTCCTTTGCATTTACTAAGTTAGAGCATTGACTATACTCCAACTGTTATTATTGATGTACAATTGATTAAATGCTACTGTTGACACACAATCTACATAGAACGAAGTAAATAGATTTTATACACACATTTCAGAGTTTTAATCACTGTGTAGAGTCCTGTAATCCCCGCAAAGATTGTACGCTCCACAAGTCCTTTTTACTTTATCTCTACCCAACCCTGGCTCCTGAGAAGCATAAATCTGCATGCTGGGGATATTAATTTGTATCTTTCCCAAATACTATATACAAGGAATTATATCCAGTATTTATGCCATATTATATGCCTATGTGTAGTATAAATCATAAATTCAATGTTTTAATTTGTGTTCTGAACTATGTGTTGTCTCTAAATGAGTTAAGAAGCCGTTTACATTCCTGCTCCCTTCTGCTGCTCTTCATGCTTTTCTGTGTAGCTTGGCTTTCATCTGCTTTACTTCCCTTCAGCAAAACCACATTTCCTAATAGTGAGAATCCCCAGCCCTGGGTTCTTTTATACATAGTTTATTCATATTTGAATTTCAGTTTTGAAACACATTTGTGAGGTATAGGATTCTTTCTCTATTTCTTTCAGCAGTTAAGTATCTTCTAAATTAAATCACAATAGCAAGTTCATTAATTTTGGGCCATATTTTTTATTAGTTCTTTCAGAATTTTGTACCATGTATTTTGATCATATTTACTCCTGCTGCCAACACCTCCCAGATTTACCCTCCCTTCCCTACATACCCAATTTTGGGTACAACAGTGGCACAACATCATGTGACCAATTGTCCACTTTCTGCTTTAAGTCCACTCTACAAGATGGAACCCACACTAATAATGGCATCATTGTAGGCCAAGAACCTGGACATAGACAAGCCATAGTCCCTAAGGGAGACCAACTGCCATTATTGTGCTAAATGTACACAGCATTAAACCATCTCCCAGTGACCTGTCATTACACCCATATATCTCCACACCCATCAGAGAAGTTTCCATTTGCAGTAGATGGTGATTATCACATTGACCCATAGCTGGTCAAGATTCAGATAATAAGGGACTGCAGAAAGCTTAGCCCTACATGGGGCATCTATATCACAGACTCTTCTCCGAGGATGGAGAATCATTGCAGAAGAAGTAGGAGGGTAAAGACTGTAATAGCCAAAGGCAGCAGATGTCTACAAGGGAAGTGTCTACTGAATACAGCGGGAGAACTGAACATAGGATCTTACAGTAGTTGTGACAGCACACATAAGACCTGTATAAGCTCAAGTGAGATCAAATTCCATCACAGAGGGAGGCGGTTAGAGCAAAGCCCCAAACCCAGCTGAAGCACCATTGGCAATTTATAGCTGCTGGGAGAAGGAATGTAACTTTTTTTCTCTTTACTCTTAGCTGTTTGGGGGGGCCAGCCCCCCCAGCTCACAAATAAATACACGGAGACTTATTCTTACTTATGAATGCCTGACCGTAGCTTGGCTTATTTCTAGCCAGCTTTTCTTAACTTAAATTAGCTCATCTACCCTTTGCCTCTGGGCTTTTACCTTTCTTTATTCTATATATCTTTCTTTCCTTCTTACCCCGTGGCTGGCTGTGTAGCTGGGTGGCTGGCCACTAGCATCCTCCTCTCGCTCCTTGATTCTTTCTTCCCAGATTTCTTCTCCTATTTATTCTCTCTGCCTGCCAGCCCTGCTTGTCCTTTCTCCTGCCTTGCTACTAGCTTTTCAGCTCTTCAGTAGACCAGTCAGGTGTTTTAGACAGCCCGACACATCTTTGCATCGTTAAACAAATGTTCCACAGCATAAACAAATATTCCACAGCAAAGGAGAGTCAGCTTTTAAGAGTGCAGCTAGCTCTCCAGGACCGGAGGGATGGCTCAGTGGTCAATAGCACTTGAGGCTCTTCCGAGGACCCGATTTCAGTTCCTTAGTACCCCCTGTCTGCTCACAGCTGTCTAGTTCCAGGGGATACAATGCTCTCTACTCACCTCTATGGACACCGTATACACGCAGTGTTTAGAATACATGCAGACAAAAATAGATCCACATAAAATAAATATATTTTAAAAAAGTGTAGCCCCTGGTAAACGGACCACACTCCAGTAGAAGGCCACCCATCCAGGAATATATGGGCAGCACACATTAGAACTGAATTTTTTAAAAAGGCTACCTTATTTTTGATGAGCAGCAATGTGTTTTTGTGTCATTTCTTCCCTAAATGTGAAATATGGATACATCCAAACTTAACAAAAACACCTCCTGATTTCAAATGCTTGACACAGATGGTGTTATTTCTACTTACTGTTTGGTTTCTTGACATTCTTGGATCTATAACTAATGTTATTTCACTAAATCTGATGGAAATTTCAGCCTATAGTTTTTCCAAGTTTTCTGCCCTTGTCTATCTCCTATTTCTTCAAGAGTCTCATTTGTAAGTAAGAAATAATGATATTGTCCTACAAACCAGTTTCTTGCTTATTCTTTCAGTGTTTTCTCTTTTTGTTTCCTGGGTTAGATAATAACTCTATTTTACTAGTTCTTTACTGTTGAATAAAAGTTAATCCAAAATCTACTGCTTTGAAGCAACAGTATTCATTCATCTCTTACGATTTCCTTGTATGCAGAATTGCAAGTTATTACAAATGTTGAACTATCTCACTTGAACTACTTTGACTCAGTTCTGTGAATTTGTAGTCAGACACTTCCTGGGGCTGAAGTCGCCTTGGGCTTGGTTGGAGTTTGGAATCTCCTCCCGTGGTAGCTCAGTCACTTAGCAGGAGAGTTGTGTCCTCTTTCTAGGAGTTTGCATGTGTCTGCTTGAGTGTCCTTTCTTGAGAATGAGCACATAAAGGAAGAAAGACATCATCTGCTCTGCCTTTATGACCTGCACGTCCATCATATTCTGCTTTTCACCTAGACCAGCCATGGCTCAGTGTGGGAGGGAAACTCAGACATGAACATAAGGAGACCTGATGTTAAGTCCACTCGCCCTTCTTTCTGTAAACCGAAGTCTTCTTGAGCCCTTTATATGTAACTTCTAAAATTCAGATGATTTGTTATTGCTCCTAAAATCGCCAACAATTCTTTTGAAAATTTTCCAGTTCTCTGGTAGGAACTTCCAGCTTTTTTCTCATTATAACTCCTTTCTTTTTTAATTATTTAAACACTTATAGTTTCTGTTTTAAATCTTTCTTTATCAGTATCAAGCTATGAATCATCTTGGAATTAGTTTGTGTAATTTTACTATCAGACCCAATTCACATTTTCTTATAATTTTACGTGTCTAGCAATTTTTTAATTATATGCTAGATGTTACCAATGATTAGCTGAAGAGATTCAAATTGTTATATTTCTCACACAAACTTATTTCTTAATTCATTCACTCAAACACACATTTAACTTGGTTTAACATTTTTTATTTTTTAAAAATTACTTACTTTGTGTGTATTGGTGTTTTGCCTGCATGCATGTGTGTGTGAGGATGTCAGGCCCCCCGGAACTGGAGTTACAGACAGTTGTGAGCTGCCATGTGAGTGCTGGGAATTGAACTCGGGTCCTCTGGAAGAGCAGTCAATGCTCTTAACCACTGAGCCATGTCTCCAGTGCAGGTTGCTGTAACTTATACTTCCAACCATGCACTTTCCGCTTAGCTCTTTATCCTTCTGGTTACCATTATTTTTTTTCTGGTATTATTGAAAGCTAGCACACATTTCCACAGTTTAAGAGATTAGCCTGCTCTTTTTAGCACAGATTATGTATAGATGTAAATTTCTCCACTGTGGTCCATTTCCCCCCCTGAAATTTTCTTCTCTGTTTCTATTACCCAACCAGTGCAGGAATGTCTGTTGTCTGATACTTAAAGTTATGAAGACTGAAATTCACTCAAAAGAGTTTCTTTTCCTGTGGGTGACATATTTCTCATTTCATCGCGATTTTGTTGTTACTCTGAACACTTTAATAACTGTTACATGTAGACCAGGATAAATAATTTTTATATACAGGAGAATTATACAACCTGCTTTGCCATTATCAGAACGAGAAATGGTCCCTTCATGTGTTAGAATGGACCATTTGATTACCCATCAAGTAGGTCCTCGGATACTCGAGGTTGATGAGCCTGTTTAATGGTGGATGATTTACAGAAATCATAAGGAGTGGCCATGTAGCTCAGTGGTAGAGCACTACCTACCATGTGATTTTACCACGTAAAGGCTCTCACTTTGATTTCTCGGACTGAAAGTGAATGGAAGTCAGGCTGGTTTGTTGGCCATACCCCAGTTACTGGTCTTGCAGTTCTCAATGACCTTGTATTGTTCTGTTTTCCAGTGAAGAATCGTCCAGTCTCTGTATGGAAGGGGACGGGAAACATATAAGACAATAATATCTCAGCATCTCATGAGAGTACAGGTATATGTGTGTCACACGCTGAATCCCCAGAATTCAACTTAACTTCTGTTTTGAGTATGGAATCAGCTGTGTCATCTGACCTAAATCAAAACTTTAACCTTGTTCAATATTTACAGAATCAGATCTGTCGTTTTCTTTTAGGCTTTGGAGATGGTGTGTTTGGAATGGCTAGGCATGTCAGGGCCATAGAACGCCTTTAAATACATCCGTCCAATGTCTTGTTCTCTGTTTCCTGCTCCAAAGCATTTCTTGATCTCCCGTGGTAAGAGTTGGATTTTTCTTATGAGCTATTCTTCCTCCAAGTCTGGATTCCAGGTCTTCAAAATCTGAGTCTATTATTGTTTGTCCATATGGTCAAGGTTGAGTTAACAGTAGTTCTTCTGATTTATTTCTATTTCCATTTCTTTTCATTTTAGTCGAGACTTAGCCAAAAATGATAAATTTTCTGCATTTAATCTTTGTTTCACTTACTTTAAAATAATACTATTTTATATTCATCTGTTTAAAATGAAAAAGGGAGCTTCAAGGATTAAACAAGATACATCACCTCCCCACTGCCTTCCACGAAGCCTACGTTCCAAGACTTCCAGTGGATGCCTGAAACTACAGGTAGCTCTGAACTCTGCATCAACTCTCCTTTTCCCAGTACAAGACACTGTTGGGCTATGATGAGAGCAGCATATAGCAGGAGGACACCCTGGGCAAAAGAGTGATTCACATCTTGGTTAGGCCAGAGTAGCATAGCACAGAGTTCATCGTGCCGTCTAGTACAGGAGGGAATTGTTCATTTCTGGAATTTTCCATCTAATATTTTCACACATCAGTTTGCTACAGGTAACGGAAAACATAGGCAGTGAAGCTTCAAACCAGGGTGTAATGAGGTACTCTTGTTAAACTTGACTTTGTTGCATTTTTTTCCCACAAAAGTCACTTGTGAAAAGAATAGGAGACAAATGACGAAGCTTGTGACAAATGTATATATCATTCCTACTAGCACCTCTGTACCACACATGGGCTCTTTCTCCATCCATTGTTTTAAAAAATTCAGGGAAGCAATGGGGTCACCATACCTTCAATGTGGTGTACTTGCTTTGGATCCATGCTGTAAAGTAGTTTACAGCAGACAAGCATTTATAGCCACTGCTGTCTTTGAGGCGCTTGCCTCAAAGAGCTGTGATTACGAATAGCCTAGCAACGACCTCATGCTTGTCTTTCCAACCATCACTGCCAGCTAAGGGAAACTTACTCCGTGAGCACCAGAATTTTGACAACATTTTCTTGCTTTGTTTATGACCTTGATATGTTCACATGAAAGATTTAGTGAAGCGGTGTGTTTTCAGTCTCTCACCAAATAACTCAGGATGTACTGGACCTGGAATCAACCTTTCACATAATTGCTACTTGTAGAACGTTGTGTTTTGAGCATTTGCTCACCATCATCACCCCCAAGGAGTAGTTCTGCATTGAGTTTTCATTTCCTATCAACTAGGGCAAACACTCCTATTACAATTGACTGTTTTGTTTTGGCGGTGGAAATTTCACCAGCATGTAAGTACTATCTCAACAAACTAGAGGAGAATATTGGAACATATTTGTGACGGATGCTTTCAGAAATGGAGATTTGCTGAGAAGAGTTTAGTACACATTGGGGAAAAGATAGGAAAAAAAATCCCTTATGTCTTGTAGTATTAAATGGTCAAGGAGCTGTTTAGCTGGAAATGAGATGTGGTAGTAACTACTGCACACACACACACACACACACACACACACACACACACACACACACACACTACAACGTAACAACTAATTGTTTATCTTTGTTGAAGTCTGAGAAGAAATAAAGCCCAAAGGTATCTCTTCAACCAGTACTTAAAATTGCCATGGCAGATGATGGATGGACATTGGAATGCTTATGATGGGGTACAGCTTGTGGGAAGAAAAAAGCTCTTAACCGTAGCAACCTTCTCTGTCAAGAACGGTGACAGGCCCTGCCTCAAGGCAGGTTCGCCCCATTGGCTTCTCAGGAGCCTTTCTTTCAGCTGCTGGCCTTCAGAAGCTGAAATTGAACTAGACATAGCCAAGTGTGTGCCCTTTTAGGAGTTCCAGCAGAGCCAGAGGCGACAGTGCCACCAGCAGCGATGACAAATTGAAGACTTCACTCAAAGGTGAGTCAGGTCAGCATGGACCTAGGCCCTTCCTTCTCCAGTGTGCACTGAGTTCCAGCAGAGAAGGCCTGCCCGGAGCTGGCAACTACAGGACACCCTCCTCTATCATCCATATAAGCTCTGACATAGGGACCAGCTAGGGGTGGCTGGTTAGCTGGTGCAAGGTGGAAGGGACTCGCCCGCTTCGAGCCACGCTCCAGGAAACATGAGTTTCGCCAACAATGACCAGGTTCCTTTCTCACCATGCACTTGGTGGCCTCCACTCGCGGAGCTCGCCTCCGACAGAGCGGTCTCCTTCTAGGCTGCCGGCTCCTGCCGGAGGGCGTGCAGCAAGATGCATGCCCGGGGTCCTAGTGTCTTCCCCAAGCTCCTGGATTTGCAAAGGCTATGATAGGTGGCCGGCGGCAGCCACAGCCTGGGAGAGGAGCACAGGGATGGGGCTGGCAGGGCAGGCGGGAGGGAGGCGCGGAGGTGGGGCGGCGGGAGCGAGGGGGAGGGCGCCTGAGCTCTGCGGCGCCCTGCCTGGTCTCTGCCGGCTGCCGGTGGCTCCGGGTTCCCCTGCACCGGTGCTCTCGGTCTCAGCCTCTCCGCCCGCCCTCGCTCCCGCTCCCGAGCGCGGAGGCGAGCCGCAGCCCGGCGCGGCGGTGGGCGTGTGCGCGCTGAAGGACGCCTCCTCTCGCTCCCGTGTTGCAGGCAGCGGCGGTGGCTGGCGGCTCCAGCTCGGGCAGCGGCGGCGGCGGCGGCTTCCGGAGTCCCGCTGCGAAGATGCTGAAAGTCACGGTGCCCTCCTGTTCCTCGTCCTGCTCCTCGGTCACCGGCAGTGGCCCGGGGTCTGGGAACCTCGTTCCGGATTACTGGATCGACGGCTCCAACCGGGATGCTCTGAGCAATTTCTTCGAGGTGGAGTCAGAGCTGGGACGGTAAGACGAGGGGCGCTGGACCAGGCGGAGCGTGGAGGCGCGGGCTGGGGCTGGGAACGCCTGCAGCGTGCACGCTAGTTGTCCCTCTGGCTGCGACACCTCCCGAGGGTGAGGGTGTCAGACTAGCCTCTGCCTTTAATCTCTCCCCTGCCTAGGCAGTGTCTGGGCAAGAGCTAAGTCTCTAGTACGAGGCAACCAGGCTCTCCCCAGAGCGCCTAGGCCGGTGCAGCTGCGAGCATCCGCCAGACTCTCCCGCCCTCCCAGCGTGGAACTGGCTGCCACTTGGGTGATATCTCTCACCGCACGTGGACTCTGCTTTCCTAATTAGTGTCTTTGCTCAGATTATAGTTTGTGACAGGGACTTGTGTGTCTAGTTAGTTTTGGGTTGGGGACTGCAGTGTGCCCCCTCTACATCGTGATGGAATTA